TTCGTTTCTCACTTTTTTTTTCACTTTTTTACGCTATTTATGCGTTTGATTAAATTACAGTATATTACGCCCAAGTGTAGCGGCATATTTTCAATCGTAAATTTCATATCTCAAAGGAAATAACCTTAAATCGTATCTTGCTATAGCACTCTGTAGTATACTCGGTAAGACGTAAGGTACTTTCGGGAGCCACCGATCTCGCATCGTTCAACGATTAATCGTTCTCTTTCTCGTTACCCGATGTACGCAGGAAGTGGCGGTAAGAATCATGCTTGTTTTAAGAACGTGACAAATAAATAGAAATACCAAAAAGTAGCACTCGACTGCCACTCTCGAGCGCAGCGAGTAGTTTCGAGTAGTTTCCTTAACGAGTCTCGAGATCTACGGCTTGTTTACACGCTGATGACATGTTTGTTTCCGTTTCAGACTGTTCAACGACAGACGACAACTTGACGTCGACGTATCAGTGCCGATGGATAGACTGTGGCTGCGCTTTCGCCGAACAAGAGGGTCTGGTTCGACATATCGAAAGAAGACACGTGGAATCCTCGTCGTCGAACGCGCATGGACACGGAAGACGGGTTCAAAGGGACAGGGACAAGGATAAAGACAAAGAGGGAGAGGGTTACGCTGGTTCCGTAAGCGGCCAAGACGAATTCGCTTGCCTTTGGCAAGGATGTCCGCGTGTTCGACCTTTTAACGCCAGATACAAGCTACTGATTCATATGAGGGTCCATAGCGGAGAAAAGCCTAATAAGTGTCCGGTATGGGTTCTTTTATATCTCGTTACATCAAGTAGTATACTTTGTTACAGCGGTTAGTTCGAAATATTCGTCAAACTCTCAAATACACAATATGCTAGAAGATTCACGCGTTTAAGTATCATCGATATTTATCGTCTGTAAAAAGTTGAAAGTACGTATTTCGTGCGACAGCGGAAACGCAAGGAGAAATAATTATTCTTCGAATCGTTTATTCGAGATTAAGAAGTCGTTCTTCGTTCTTACTCAAAAACCCTCTTCCGTTGAACTCTTCTCGAACATGTTGGTCGAAGCGAATATGTTTCTTTCGTGGTTTTGTTTCAAACTTTCTCTAAGCTGTTGCATTTTAATCGAAACCACCATAAGTAGAGCCACGGTGTAATTAATTGTACTTTCATTTTTACAGTTCACCGGATGCAAGAAGGCGTTTTCACGATTGGAGAACCTGAAGATTCACCAAAGATCTCATACGGGAGAAAGACCGTACGCCTGTCAGCATCGCGGTTGCTCCAAAGCGTTCAGTAACAGCAGTGATCGCGCGAAACATCAGAGGACTCATTACGACACGGTGAGTTTGTTATTTTATTTAGTTATCCAGATCGAAACCTGCTTGAACTACGATACCCGGATTATCACAAATGTGTGTATACATATTTAAAAGGAGGAAGGAGCAAAATCGGTCGTTTTAATCAGCTATCGTCGGTCAGCTATTTGCATAACTTAAAAACATATTTATGGTTTGATTTCAATCGCCTGCGCGCGTCTGATATAGCTATCTTGGGATAAATATCGATACAGCGTTCTTACGTTACGTAAGACGATCGCAATTAAAGAACGATATTTCATCATGTGGTATTCGCATTTGCGTACAGTTGGTTTTCAATTATGATTATTCGAACAGGTGACGAAAAACGAGTAAAAAGTTGTCGCATAATTGCGTATTAATCGCTCGATCATTTTTATCAACAATTTATTTTCGTACAGCGATCCTTCGATATTTACGCGATCGAACCTCTTCGATATTCTTTCGCATCTTTCAACTGCGAGCGCGTGAAAACTCGAGCTATCGTTGTATCGAAATATTTTGAAATTTGGATAAATGGATATTTTTTGTAATTAAAATTACGTAAAATGTATCGCGCGCGATATTACTCGATCGTAGAGTAACTTTAAGAAAGAGAAGCGCTTATCGCCAATGTTGAAATTTTGTAGCACGAAAGGTCAGTGAACATAAGCTGACTCGATAACTCGAAAAGCTTGCGAATTACGATACGCGAAACGTAACATTTTGCTATTGTAACAATAAAAAAATGTATTATCGCTTTAAAAAGACGCGGACACGATAATTTTGTCGCTCAACGAATAACGGCTACTTAACGCAATTATCGCTCGACAATTACCTTTTGTCCAGCGACTTTCCAACCAATAATTACCATTACCACCTAAATCGTCTCACTGCTGTGTAGTATCATCTGTTTGCACGTACCAGGCAATACTAGCGTACACGAATGGAGCCGCTTGTACAGTTCCGTTCTTTCAAATATCCACCTGGATATCCGCGACTTTTATCGAACAAAAACAAGAATCTCAAAAGAGACGAATAAATCTGCTACGAATATTTCGCGTTATCGAATTACCGTAGCGAATACTTGCCTGTACGATACGTTCGTGTTCGAACTATAGCGAACAGCTATAGCGAAGTCAGATCAGTGCTAGACAGGAAAATAAACTTGTTTTATAAAAAATATTTTTAACAAAATGCTTGCGCAAATTTTCAGAAACCGTACGCGTGTCAGGTTAGCGGATGCGGAAAAAGGTACACAGACCCGTCGAGTCTCAGGAAACACGTGAAAAATCACTCGGAACCAACGACGCCGCTGTCCAACTTGTCATTGACATCGGACGGCAAGGCTTCGGCTAACCCGACTAAAAGTTCAAGCAACTCGCGGCACGATCCGATTTCTACTAGTTCGAGGCAACAGCAACAACAAGCGCGAACGGCGATCGTTTACACCACGGAATCGAATTATCGAACGTATAAGACTTCGGAGTCTTACGCGGACGAGGACGCGGACCTGTTCCAGACGAATCTGTGTCAGGTCGATCGGATTTCCATGAACCTTGACAGCAATCAAGAGTACGTGCCGATCGAATCTGTGAAACGCTTTCTCATCGACGATGTCAGCGCGTCAGGATCGCACGTGGACGGTACAGGTAAGGGAAACGATTCACGATCAACGAATCATCGATAGGAGATTCTCTGCGATTTCTAAGAAATCATCGACGCATTCATACTTTACGCATTCGTATCGACGGATCATACTTTACAGGGGTATTATCAAAATTTGCCAAGAATGGAACTTGTACGATCGTTTCTTTCGTACACTTTACAGCAATAACGATATTATCTTCGATCTTTTATTCATCGGGCACGTTTTATCTACATTTATTCGTCGGCTGACCAAGAAACGTTGCAACTAATCCGATTTTGTTGCCCGCTAGAGATTCAACCTACGGCAGAGTCTATGCATCGAACACCTTCTCGCCTATGTTCGAAGTAAATGGACGGCAAGCTCGAGAAAAATTCCGAGAACGCGCGATAAAACAGACGCGACTCCTACCGTTTCGAACAAAAAGTCGAGCAGCGTTGTTCGAGCGACCCGTACGAATCTTCATTGTACTGGTCCGCGCGTGCTGCCTTTTTCTGTCCCGGTAAATAGTAACGGCGCCGCCGATGACAGTGCGCGTTTCGCTTCCACCATGCTTAATCTCAGAGGAGGTTCAAACACGCTTTACGCGTTTACCCCACACCGAGTCTTAAAATAATATTCCCGACTTTTTTGGCCGGGAGCACACGCACGTAACGCACGCGCCAAAACAGACGACGCGGCTGCCACGTGCGACACACGCGTGCCCTTTTAAATTCCAGCCCTCGAGCCCGCGATTTTCTACCGAATAATACAGCCACATCATCGATCCCCACTCTACTCCTTTCTAAAATCGTTCTCTTCGCTGTTTATCAGCGACAGGCTCTAGGCTAGGTACGGCTCGAGTGCATCGTCGTGCACCGTATACGCGGGCGTTTCATTTTTCCAACCGTTAAGTTTCGTACCATTTATGATCGACGATAATCGGTCGTTCGTATCGATACGTACGATTTCGCGCGTATTTCCATTATCGCGTACTCCCTGCGGCGAGCAATTTAAAAGATATTTTAAAACAACGGATCAGCAGCCGGAAGCAATATCTCGATGTGAATTTATCGAGAGAAATTCATCGATATCGCGTTTCGTTCGGATTTATGTCTATTTGTAGAATTATAAATACGCGTACGTGTATGTATATCGAAGTTAGTCTCGTCGTTGTAGGTGCGTAATAATAAAATTTCGATCACCAAGCTAATGGAGTTTGATCAACTTAAGGGTCGAGTCTAGGTCTAGGTCTTTAAACTAGATTCGCGAAACTAGCGCACAGTGGTCGTTCAAATCTGTTTCCTACTTTACAGGGTACCAGGTCGAGGATGAAGTGCCCGACTTCCAAGAGCTCGGTTCCGATATCGAACAACAGTTTCTCGAACTAAGCAGCCTCGATGACGCGGTTTTCATCGACGGTTGAGAAACATGTTTATCATAGGAGGAGGATCGAAGAAGACTTCGCGGCGAACGCGCCATATTTCCAAAGACTCGTTTCCATTTCTTTTTGTATTCGATTTTTATACGCTTTCGCTCGATTAGATAAATTTCATCGACAGATATATTTTTGTACATAGACCGTTGTATATATCATTAAATACACGATTTTGACTATTACGTCCGATGTTATCTTATTTTTTACTTTTTAAGAAAAAGTGGCGTTTGCTATCTGAATATTATCGATAACGTTACCGTATTTTGCAATTGATAATGCGAACGAACTGATTTATTTCACGATATAATGTTGTTATTATCGCGTTACCGTTAATAAGAAAATTTACGAAATTGATACGAAGATATAGAAATTAAGAAACCTTGGCTATGCTTATAAAACGTGGACTTTTTATTTATTCGTCGTACATCGAGTCAGAGACAGCGACAATTTTTCTACGATACGATGTAATCCTCAAACGCGGAACGCAGTTTCGTCGAAAGGGCGTTCGAATTCCGACTTCTTTCTCCGAATCGTTGCACATCCTTGAGAAAACGATTCGCTATACAAGTATTTTTATACAAAATACATCGCGATATTTTCGTTCGTAGAAAGCGTTACGAACAACGAGTCCTCGTTCGTATTAATATAATTCGAATTACTTGAATTCAAAGCATTCGAATAAGTTTGAAGAATAATAAGAATAATAATAATAAGAGGAATAATAAACTCGTGATTTGTAAAATTTTTAACGATCTAGACTTCACGAGTCACGAGTTATCGATATTAATAAGTACCCCGTTGCTTATGTTAACAAAACTTACGTGCTAGTAAAACCGACGAAATTCCGCAAATTGTACATTAACTGGTTATTCCGTTTGAGGAAAAATGACAAAATCGTAAAAAGGAAATACTTGATTCGTTGTTTGTCGATCGACTAACTGCGTTCTAGTTGATCGATAGATCTGGTGTAAAAACTTGGAAGGATATATTTCGAGTCAACTAAATTAGATAAATCTGTGGCGGCACTCGACAAGCATTCGAGCTAATCGGATTAGTCTAACAGCTTAAGTACCGCCTTCTCTTTTTTTTTCCTATATCGAGCTTGTCGTTAACCTACTGTAATGGCCCCTCGCGCGGATCGTAACGACGACATGCTGCAGCAAGCTTTGTATAAAAAGCAATCTGACCCACTACAGAGATGTTTTAGTGGCGATAGGGTTGAGCAACGGTTTATTTTCAAGCTGTGCTGCATCGAGACGGTTTCGCCCCCTCCGTCAGTTTGTCGCAAATTAGTTTAAAGAAATTGTTCAGCGCCTTGCTTTGTATCTCCTGCAACAGACGGAAAACACGACGAATTAACGTTTGAAACGTGATTCGCTATTAATCGAGCTCTTATAGAAGAAACGTGCTCGTAATGCCGAGTACTCACCCCATTGATCGTGATCGTTGGAACGAAAGAGAGTCTCCCGGCCAACTCTTTCGTTTTCTCGCCATACGCGACCAACAGATCGTCCGACAGAGAACTCTTGACGCACTCGTTCATCTTCTCTTGGATCTGCTCGCTCAATCCTACGTTCTTGGCACACTGGAAAATCGTTTCGTACTTTTGTCTCGAAGAAAAGATTCCTCGGGTAACAGGTTTGCTTTAATCCCGTCGCGAACCTTTGATTTCTATATTTTAAGTTTCTTCTTATTTCGACGAAGCAGCAAACATTCCTTTTGTTCTCACAGGGCGATTATAAATAAACGATTCTGAACAATTCTACGCGCGTTTTAGAACATTTGATATAGGCCACTGTATATCGAAGAATTTCTAAAAAGTTTGCACGGTAGTATCCAACAACGTGTGAAAATTCAATGTTTTTTATTGGTTTAATTATATTCGGTTAAATTTCTAGTTTCGAGAAAGATGGCGGAAAAGGTAAATAAAAATGACGAGTACCTGTGAAAGAGAGGATGGCGGAAACTGCGAGGTCATTGCGCAACCAACTAGCGCCACGGTATGTTGTTGAACCTTATCAGCCGTTTCTCCGTTCTGAATCGCGTGAATACCGCACGCCTGAGCCTTGTTCCCATTGCACTCAGCTTCTCCGTGCTGACACGCGAAGCGCCATTTTTGCGTGATTGGATCTTGCCAATGCTATTTATTTAGGTGTAAATAAGTATATAAGAATAAATGGCATACGGATCGATTCGTACGATACGTTGTATTTGCCGACGTTGTTCTATTTCTTATTTATCTATCGCGTTTAGCGTAAAACGCGATACGATATAGTAGGTAATAACATAGCAAAGTGCGATAGGACCACTCACCGATGCTTTCCCGTACGGAACGAAAGTGACTCTGATGTAATCTTTCAATACATCGTATTGCGGCAATAGTTGCTGCTTGATCCACCGTATGCTATCTGGGCATAGCGATTCGTAATAAACTCCCACATCTATCGCTGCATTCGACTCGCCGCCGGCCACCTACACAGTTATCACAGAACGATCACGAGTCTACGATATGGTTGTCGATCATCTTACGCTTAATTATATTTTAACCGACGAATTAGGTTCAAGTTGGTTTAAGCGAGCGTAAATTAGTACAAATTATCGTAAGAGACTGTTGTTTGGCGTAGTTCGCAAGAGAGGTAATCGGAAGCCTCGTAACCCCATAGGGGAGTCGATAAAATTCGACTACTGCTATCCTACGTTTACATAAATTATGCGAACGATAGGTATATTATTTAATATTTCATTGATATAAATTACAAATGGATTAGAAATAAAAAATGTGTGTGCGATTACGTTTCAATACAAAGGTGCCTGAAAGCAGATTTTCACGCAAGTTTATACTTTTATTTCGGCTTCTAATAAAACGTTCTTCGTCCTTCCAAACATTACAACGTATGACAAACTAGAATAAAATTCTCTGTTATATAGATATCGTGTGTATCCCGTCTTCCGTTCTCTATACTTATCACTTATCGAATTGGTATTTTTACAATTAAACTAAAGGAATGGTGTTTCGATAAGAATATGCTTTAGCTATTAAACGTTATAACAAATATCTTTTATGTCCGATATTTTATATACGTACGTTTCTCCATATGTATATCTATAGATATAACCATGATCTAACGATAATTGCTACAAATAGTCGGCGTGTTATAAAGAATTGTATAATGTTATTTATTTGCTCTGTGATTGATTAATCAATTTGACAATTCGATCAGTGATTAATTTAATGACATTATAACGAATATTTTCGTAATAAATTTCTATAAGTAACCTCTCGTAGCTTTTGGAACAAAGAAACAGGATCATCGCGAATAATCGATAAACAGGTTTCAATGTTGTACGATACTCGAGGGGAAAAATTTCTTGAAAACCGGCTTTCGTCTTGATAGCTTTTTTCATCGATGTGTCAAAATAAGAACTTTCAGATTAGATTTACCACGAATGTCAATTATTATTTCGTGTTATATACTTGTTATTTTAAAAGTCGGCAACGATATTAAAACAAAGATATGATCAACAGATCAGACTTTTTGATAATTTGAAATTTGAAATTTTATTCCTGTCTCTTCATTATCTAGTAAAAGGAATCATAAAACGTAAGCAAACTTCAAAAGCGAATTCAACGTAAGTTGTGACAAAAATCTGTTGGAAACAATAGGTAATTATAATTTAAAGACAATTTGCCCATTGTAATACTGTCGTCGTATAACCAGTTATCTTAACCATGATGGGAAGGAACGAGTCAACACATTCATGGTAATAATTCATTTATCGAGCGATTTCCTCTTTCTTTGTTTCTAATACATCGTTTTATTTACATTCGAAATACATGTCACATTTAGTGCAAAAAATACGATATAAATAGTTTTACTTACTATATTTAAAAATTCTACATTTTAAATGGAAATAGAAAGAGAGAAAGAGAGATTCTACGTTTTAAATGGGAACAAAACAAGGTCTACATGTCTATAGAAATAAATAAAACTTTTATAACCTAAATAAGCGGAAATTTCACATTCCAAATGGGAATAATAAAACATCCTATATTCCAGATCTCTTTCAAATAAAAACATATGGAAATTCTACGTTGAAAACTACAATAAAAAAACATCCCACGTTCTATGTGGAAATGTACAGAAACTCGACATTCTAAACGGAGAATCTTACATTTTAAGTGGAAAATAAATAAAAATTTCACACGTGAGATAGAATCTCTTATGAACACATATTTATCGAAAATACAAACTATGAAAAGTGAAATTAAAGGAATTCTCACTTACCAAGGCACTATGGCCGAGGAACGCAACAGCGAGTATGGCCGTGATCGAGCTGCTCGCACTGAACAGGTAGCACCGCATGGTCTTTCTGGTATACCGACAAACTGGCCAACAGCTTTTAAACCAGCTTTATCTGTAATCTATAGTCCACAGTCTATAGCGACGTCGAACCTGTGCCAAGGAGGGAGACTTTGAAAATGTAGGAGGGGCCGATAGAAAGAGCGATACGAGAGAGGCAGGGAAGAGAAGAGAGACGGGAAATCGTACATAGTAGACGGTACTTCATACGGTACTACAGACAGTAATTCACATGTAACTTCACTTTCGCTACTAAAGAATACAATGATGTAGTAATGGGTTTGCGAATTAATCGATTAAATTAATAACGAAGCAATTAACAGTAACTTTTAATGTAAAAACCATGTGAATTGCGTAGATATACAGTCTTTGTCATTCGTTATGTTATAAAAAGTAACATAATAACGAACAATATTTATTGTTTACATTTGTGGACAAATATATATTCGATTTTCATACATATCCATCTATTTTGATATTTGATAAATTATTGCAAGAATATTTTCGGTTCATTCGTTTTTAAATAATTAATCAACAATTAACACTTTACCGATCGATAACCGATTAGTTGGTTTTTCGTCGCCGACGCCTACCGACCGATAACCTATTAATCGGCTTTTTGTCATCGACAATCTTTCTCATTATTCGAGCAGTAATTTGTTATTTGGTACTAAGATATTTTGTTCAGTTGCGTTGCTTCGTAAGCTCCCACAGTTTTATACCAATTTGAAAGACGTACCACTCGCGATGAACAAAAAGAATGGTATTGGAGAGTCTAAACCGAAACAGAACAGAATCTGCGCCCGAACTGCCGGTCGGACGTGCGTATGCTGTTGAACTGCTAGCGGTCGGTAAAGTGTTAATACTACACAGAGATAAAAAACACTGTTGATCGTAGAACTGAAAATATCATAACGCTTTAACATTTACGATATTGATATCTCTTGACATTGTACAAAGCGACGAATGCAAATGTCAAAATTAGTATTTCACATTGTTTGCACGATAAAAGAACACATAATTTAATCGGTCTACCATATTCGCTACAAAATTTCATCCGTATAGCTACTATATGTAATAATCTTATACAAAATAAGATTAAGGATCGATTCCCTGATGAAATTTCAACGGTCTCTTATTTTCTTTTAGATCCCTTAATATTTCGTTAGCTCGTGTCTTGAAAGTTTCTGCTAGCTCTGCACTTTGCTGCACACCATCGCCCCTCTTGTGCATTATAGATAAATTAGCACAAGCATATGGGTTATTTAATTCGCAACATCTTAACGACAGTTTATAGGCCTCTTTTAAATTCTTTTCTACGTATCCCTCGATACCGCTTAAGTAAATGCTTGACAAAAAGAAGCAAGCTTTCTCTTGGTTTAAATCGCAAGCTTTTTTTAATAGTTTCATTCCAAGCAAGACCTGAGTACCCCTGACTGGCTCGAGTTTTTCTTGAGATATCGCAAGAGCGCCTGCGTGAAGGCAGCCTCTTGCATCGTCCTTATCACAACCTTTTTGCATGTATTTGAATGCTTCTTTGGAATCTTTCTCACACTCTGTACCTATAAAAATTCAATTTGCAAATTTATAAATAGCAAATAACAGTTTCGGTAAATACTAGTTACCATTAAATATTAGTTAATTACGTAAGATATTAAACGAACGATATAAATTTGAAAAAGATAAAACATTATATAAATAACATATTTGGCGAAGAGACGAAAATACCGTGGGCAACATTTTGATTTTCCCGGTACGAGGCACGCGCCATTTTTACTCACCCATTACTCTGTAATCGCCGTATTTTGTGCAACTTTTCCCATAACCGCGTTCGTCACAATTTTTCTTATACAGATTTAGCGCCTCCTTGGGATTTTGCTTAATAGATTCATGATAATCACCCAAAAGATGGCAAACTATCGAAAAATGTCAAACATTTGAGATACGAGGTTAGAATCACCGACAGCCTCGGTGCTTACCTTCAGCTTTCTTCTCACTTAAACATCCAAATTGATATTCTATATAAAGATTCTTTAAATATTCTTCTACCTCTTCTTTCTTTTTAAAATCGTATGCCGCCATATTAAGCGATTACTTTCGAGTTATTAGCGTCGGGCAAACTTATCAGGAAAATAAGCACATGGTTTCTATTTTAAAGACCAATCAAACGATGAAACGGTATGCGTGCGCATCCTGTGATTTTTCGAACGAGCGCAAGTCGACAACCAAGGTACTAGCAATTCACAACATTAGAGCTGCTTGTCAGTTCAGGTGTGCTTGTCATGCAGTACGCTGTAAGTACATATCAAATTATTTCTACGGGGCACATGAGGACATATATCTTCACAATTATAGGATAATTCATATGTCGAAGAAGAAAATACGCTTATTGAAGTGAGTAATTTTGATTTAATTTGATTAATACTTTCTGTTAAACTATCGATGAAGTTATTATAAACTGTTTATAATCGTTTGCAAATTTATTTCTTCGGGCTTTTTTACATTTTTCATGATCCTTGTTTTCAATCACACATACTAATATTTCAAATAACTTGCTTTGCTATAATTTTAAGGTTACCGAACTACATATATTGTTTTGTACTAAAAACAATAGCATATCGTTTTAAAACATAAGTAGTTATAATTACGTCTACAACAAAAGCTTTAGAATTGTTCGTCCAATTAAAAGAATGTATATATTTTTGTTGAAAGATTCGGTAATCACTTTCGAATAGTTTTCGTATAATGGGATATTCGGTCGGTTTACAATTTTATAACCTGATGAAATATAAAGTGACAATTAAATGCAATGTTAATATCATATTTATATCCTCATTTCTCTTGTTGTTTAATAAAAACAAACAATTCAGTTTTCATATATTATATAATTAAATGCTTTTTTTTTATTTACCATACAAATTGCTTTGAAAAAAACTAAATTCACACGATTATTTGTTAATTAATATTAAGATCGATTAACATAATTATCTTAAAGCAACTGTATACAATGTTTCGTAAACTGAGGGAAAACGATAAACTAGACTAAAAAAATCCAAAATGTATTCAAAATTGAAAACACGTGTGTATACATATATATATATGTATATATATATGTACGTAGACAATATTGTATCAAATACAGTTGTATATTTAACTAAATGTGACAAAGGAAAACATATTTTGTATAAAATAGAGAATATTCGACAAACCGATACAAATCGATCTAGTCCAGTCGATTTAAACTTTCCTTACTACTAGGTCAATTCGTAGAGTTCATTCGGTTAGGGGGCCGTCTCTTTATCTACCCTTCGTAATCAGAATTCATCTACATAGCAAGTGCAAATGTAAATGTAAAATACACCGAATGAATTGTACGCGGGCTTAACTTATGTCGCTTTCGTATTTACCCCAATCTAATATAATCTTTTTTTACTCGAGTACATGAGCGACACCTGCGTATGATTTATGCCACTTACCACACATCCATTAACCTTCTGCACTTGACCTATTTGTATTTCTTGCATGTTTAATCCGATCGATATTTCCATCCAATTGATATCGATATTTGATAGTGCTTGACATGAAATTTTACAGGTATCCTTTAAAAGTTCATAACATAAAAATTTGTTAATTATATATACGCGCAAAATTATACAAATCAATTAATTCATGCAAAATATTCTACCCGTAACTCATTCGGTATACTCTATGCATAATCACGTTAGTTGTATTAACTGGTATTTATGAATATTTGAAACATTCTATTTCTAGTTTATTTATTATTCGTTTTATCTGTCATACGGAATAACGTGAATCTTGACAGCCTGATTGATACTTCAAAGTTGAAGGTCATAGTTAAATTTTCAGAATCAATTCAGTTTCAGTCGACTCCTTGAACTCGAAGAAAGTTAAAATTAGTTTATTAGTTTTTATATTTGATGTTTTTAGAATGTAGTACATGTAAATAAAAATATTATTAAACAAAGGAGAGATATTATTATATGCAAAAATAAAATATTTTTTTAGTTTCTATACTCGATCTGTAGGAATGAGAAATTTTTTGGTTAATCAATAATAACTCATTTATTCTAAGAATTTAATTTTCATACAATTCATTACTACTAGGTCTTATAGTTGCCATATTTTTCAAACTATCGATCCCAACATTTCACTTTGTAATGTAGTTTATGGTCGTAATTGCGAAATTTTTATTATCAGGTGTTCTTGTCGTATTATGCATTGTTAAATGGCACATTTGGTCATTTTACGTTCAAATACGATTTTATGAATGCTGGTCGCATACATAGAGGTGGGTTGTACGGCTTAGACACGCTATAATTCGGGGTGATTCAACGCGTAACTGAGTTCAAGGACAACACACACACACACACACACATTTTGTCGGCAAACGAATGAAATACTTAACGAGCAAAAAGCAATATGTTCCTGAGAAACACGATATCAAGTAATGTCGCCGATAATGGCGTCGAAAATTGCACGATATACTTATTAAAATGACGAAAATTCAATCCAATTAGCGATAACATTTTTCGTGACTTTTGATATTCTCATTTAATTTATCGATAAGTTAATTCGGGAAACATAATTTATTAATATATTCGACCGTTCAAATAGTGCAAAAGATACACGGAACTATGCTTTACAACAAAATAAAATGCATACTTAATTGGCCGTCGGTCACCAACTTTTCAACCAAGTATACTATCATCTTCTAATAGCGATCTAACAGTCAAGGTGTAACCACTCTTCTACAATTGTTACGCGTAACGACAATCCTCAAGGCAAAATCTCTTTCTCTCCCTAATCTAGTGTCTTTCGTTTTTAGATGAGCGAGTCTGTGAAGGTGGCTGTGAGATGTCGCCCAATGAACGCTCGGGAGCTCCAGCAGGGATGCAGGGTACGTTCATAGAGGCGGACAATGAACAGCCAGGAGATCGTCGACGCTTCTGAGTTCGTGTCACATGCACCCGCGCCACCAACGTGCGCTATGCACGCTTCCGCTTCTGTTTCTTGTTTTGTTTATTCGTGGAAAGTATGTGGATAACTCGTCATTGTTCTATCGAACGCGTTGTAGCCTAGCGACCGTATCAAAACACGCGAGCAACATGCATGAACACTGTAATTTTTCCGCTAGGAAATTTTTTACGAGATCGTCCTCTCTGAATCTTCGAATCTTTGACTCAAGTTCGTTGGATGAATGAATTTCGTCCGACTAAGGATGGTTTTAGGTTTAACAAGTAAGTAAAGTCACCACGAAGATTCTGATTCATGTCTTTTTTCTTTTTTTTCTTTTGTTTCAGATCTTTTACCCTCTATATGCAATGTGGGACGTGCAAGCCTCCAACGATTTTTCGATCGCGTATTTAAATAATTTTGTTTAAATGTCGATATCTTTTTAAACAAATTTTTAAATATGTCACTTTGAAACCTGTTGGATATCGTGGCAGAGATGCTAATAAATAGCCACGAATTTTTCTAGATCTTTTCGAATGTCCCCCAACAAGCTAAAAACTCGGCTTAGCCTTAAGCTCTCGTCCCACATTGCACAACGCGTTAGTAAAAAGAGAACTGCATTTTTTATTTATTTAAACTGAATAGTTCTTTTTAATATTTTTAACGTCTTATGGCTGTTGGCAACATGACGTGGCATTGAATGTAAGAATTTTTTAACAAATAGAAACTGTCTGTCTTTAGTGTCGCACAGTGTTTAAATTTTGTTTATAACTGTTATAGCTATTATAATTCTGCAGTAAACCGTAAAGAGCTTGAATTTCTTTCACACCGTAAAGAAGAACAAAAAATTGATCGTATAATATGGGTTATGAATTCGACAATTTACATCGGAAATAAAATAAAGAAATCCCATTTATCCTATACAAATCAAACGTAATTTTTTAACGATAAAAGAAATTGAAAGAACGGCGAAATAATTAGTTTACCGTAACGCGTATCAACGAGTATATTTCGTTTTTCTACGTATCTAGGAATCCTACACCATCGTCGAAAAGTATCCCTACAGTTGCTTATTACTTGAAATGTAACTTAATTATAACATTATGGTAAAACAGAATCGACGATGTCTCGTTAGATAGTAAGTAGCTATCTGTTATAAAATATTATGACACGATATTCAACTATTCGCATCAATAAAACCGTAAATTTCTTTTGCACAAATGCTATGTAATATAATGGAAGAGTTTCGCTATTTGAGAAATTCTCGATTTCAAAATTGTTTAATTTTTAAGATATAGATTAAATAAAAGCAGATCTTCTAACCTCACAGATAAATCGCACATCATGCCTACTTCAGGTACCTAGTACATACTATTCCAAAGTTATAATTATATGGAAGAATATAGAAAAATAACAAATATGACAGTTAACTATTAGTTTGTATACTACGTTTGTAACTTCTATACTTTAATAAAAAATCATTTTATCGAGATATTCATAATTTTTCAGGTTTCGATCGACAAGTTTTTAATTATGCGTTGAACGTTTCATGAATATGCATCGCAATTCGCGTGAACCTCGCGTGAACCGAAACCCAGACCAGGTCAAAACACGAGAAACTATAAATATATCGTTTAATAATTAGCGCGGAACTTCTGAAAATCTGAAAATCATTATACCGTTGTTACAAATCGTACACGATATGTGCGTGTATTTATCGCGAATCATGCGATCGCACCTACGCAAAGTTACACGTACACGCAGCGTGCACGTGTGCCTCTTGTGGCAGTGTGTCAACCGTACGTGTGTCGCCGTACATGAACGTAAAAGAGGGAAAAACAAGGAGGATATAAAATTGGTAGCACGACTGTGGCTTTCCATCGATTTGGCATATATTCCGCTTCATCGATAAGCATGTGAATACGTATGTAAACTATATACATATATATAGGCATGTAAAATGATGTGTGCAACGACGCGGTTCGATACCACTATCTATGCATCGTGTATGCACCGATCAGCTTAGCGTGCCTACGTTACCTTCTGAATATCTTATGGAATAGTAAATTTAATGACGACTCACTGTACACGATGGCCCGTGATACATAGCTGTGAGCTACGTTGATGGACGTACGATGAAAGTGGAAAGGGACTTCGAGTCAACACGTGACAGATAGAATAAAAGTTTTCTTTTCTTTTAATTGTATTTACGTTTGTTTTTCATTACTTAAGAAGTATAGAATGTTAACTTTGTCGAAAGAATTCGTGCGCTGTATTCGTTCAATTTTATTAAGTTTGATAATGCATATAGAAACGTAAAATGATTTAAGATACAGGAATTATCAGGAAAAATATTCGTTATTTCATATTTTGCTGTTCGATGCATTCAGAGTATTTATTATGCCAAGTTTAACTGTTAATTAATATTTTGTTGCATCGTATCCGGCTCTACAATTTTAATTTAATTTTAAGGTAATTTAGTTTCACTTTGTTATATCAGGTTTAACTCTCGACCAACGTTGTTGAATCACGTGTCACTACGGAAATTTTAATCAGAGTACTTGGTTTTAAATTAATCTACATTTGAAATTAACAGGCAGCTGGCTTTTAATTATATCTGCGAAACTTATTTCGAAACTCGACGTATCGGACGAAAAATGGGAAAAGAAGCTGGAATCGATAATTTAGTTACAATACTGAAACAGGAAGAAGCGACAATTGCGTTTTATTATTATTTCCGCGAAATTCAATCGATACGAGTATGAACTACGAACTATCGCTAAACCGACGTTGCAAATAATAGCCACATTACACAGATAGTTTTTGCATGACGAGTATAGAAGTGTCGCGATATAACGTGATTGATAAATCACGTGGATCGATTAGTTTTATAAAAAAAATTAAATAACTTTAATCGTTCTTGCACGCGTTGCTTGTAAATTACGGGAGTGCAGTTATAGGTTTTAATTTGAAAGGCGAAGTCTTTTGCTCGATCGATATTCCGCTCGGATGAAATTTACAAAAACCCTGTTATTAATAAAGGCAGGAACATTTGCGAATATTTATCCTCCTTTATACGCGTAGTTCGCTTTTAAGAATGGACTAAACAGAAAAATATTTGCACAACGGAAACCTACATGCATGCACACTACGAACTTAAGAAAACATATTTTTCCAAGTCACGGTGTTTCGTAAATGTACAGCGACCTTAATTCACGCTGCAGTATATCGCGCTATATCTGTACTTCGATCTTACATTATTACACATGATACGATGTGATATTACACACCATTGCGCTCTTCTTTCTTGGTTCTAGCCTCTTATTTCTTTTCCGTTCTTCCTCCGATCCTCGTTACTTTTCGCGTTTCTATCCTTTTTCTTTTTCTACTCCCTCTGCGTCTTCGCGTTCTCTCGTTATATACTGCAAACGGTATACTTTGCGGTATACTGGAAACAGCAACTTTGAGAGCTATTAAAGAGCTACAAGCAACAAAGCTATTAAATCGATTACTAATCGTTAAATATTATTAAACTTATATTATCAATAATAACGAAATTTCATCGAGCTTTACACGTGTATCGGTAAACTCGAAAATTCACCTATCGTATTTTTTTCACCTGCGCAGAACGTGGTAACGATCGATTCTGCGTCAAAATGCTGCACCCTCGAGTGTCCAGCAGCCGCAGGCCCCGGAAACGGCAAGGTGTACCAATTCGACGCCGCCTTCGGTCCGGAAGCAACTACAGAATTTGTCTACGAAAACGTTGGTTCGGTCATCGTGGAAGCTGTACTGGACGGCTACAATGGCACCGTGTTTGCATACGGACAAACAGGCTGCGGGAAATCGCACACAATGCGTGGATTCATCGAACGTACTTTGGACCACATCTTCGAGGCCACGTCGACGGCCAGCGCGGAAATGAGATACTTGGCCCTGCTCAGTTACCTGGAAATTTACAACGAACGATTAAGGGATCTATTGCAAGACGGTGGGAGCGATCTGTTGACCTTGAAAGAGGATCCGAATCGCGGGACTTACGTGGCTGGAGGTTTGAGAGAGGTGACGGTGAAAGATGCGGCGGAATGCGCACGACTGGTCGAACAAGGTGATCGAAGAAGAGCCGCTGCAGCTACGAAAATGAACGCAGCTAGTTCCAGGAGTCACGCTGTGTTGACGTTGTCCTTGGAAACGCTGGCCATTAACGAAGAGAGCAGTAAGACTGAGAATCCGGTAAAGAGAGGAAGGCTTCACCTGGTGGATCTTGCCGGGTCCGAGAGGCAAGCGAGGACTGGTGCTACCGGAGATAGACTGAAAGAGGCAGCTAGCATCAATTTAAGCCTTTCGGCGCTGGGAAACGTGATCAGTGCGTTGGCTGCTGGTCATGGCAGACACGTGCCGTATAGGTATGTTGGTAGACTGTTAGACGAAATTTTAGAATCGTTAGGATAACGTACTTGGTGCGAAGAATACAGGAGAAAAGTTAGTTAGTTTCTAATTTGTATGCCACTTGACGGCCAAAAAGGAATACTTCGATATCAAACGATCGTAAAAAGGGTGAACTCGTTAAGTCCAGAGATAAAGTCTCCGGAAAAGGTATCATAGGTGACGCAACGCGGCATAGTAGAATCATGTTGTTTTTCACACAAAACTACATCAGACGTAAGTTTCGTTAAAATCGTCGATTCATAGCCGATGATTGGTTCCTTCGTTAGTTACGCCGAGAATAACATCGCAACGTTAGATAAGATGGTGTAAAAATTTTAGTCGTTGAATAAATTCTTTCTTACAACGCTTCGCGGATGTATCGGCTGTTCTTTAAAGGCCTATGCTAAAGGGATTAATCGTTGTTTAAATCGACGCTCGAAGAAACTCGTATACTCGAGACGATACGAAACATCGCGTAACGAACGCGATCGATTGCAAAGTCACTAAACGTTTCCTTTGAAAATTCCCTATCCAGAGACAGCAAGCTAACCAGGCTACTAAGAGACAGCCTCGGTGGAAACGCGAGAACTCTGATGATAGCTTGTATAAGTGGCAGCGACGTGGACGCCGAAGAAACTCTGAGTACCTTGCGATACGCAGCCAGAGCTCGATGCATCAAGAACAAACCTGTCGTCAACGAGGATCCGAAAGATGCTTTACTGAGGCAATATCAATTAGAACTGCAACGTCTAAGGAAGTTGATCGAGTCGAACGATCAGTCGCTCGTAAAAGAGATAGCCGCGAAGGCAGAAGTCGAAGACGAAGAGGGTATCGAGCAACGAGAATACAGCGAACATGTGAAAAGATTGAAGGAGGAGTGCGAACACTCCAATCTGTCTGCTCAGAAGCTTCGAGAGGAATTGCAGGCTATGAAGATTCGCTACGAAGCTGGTACTATTGGCGATACGAGGCCCAAGCCTGTTTCTCAGCAGCCGATGGACGAACAGGACGTGGAACGGGAGGAAAGGCGAAGAAAGAAGCGAGAGGCGGCCATGCAAGAGGTATTGAAGAGACTGGAGAAGCTAACTATCGGAGGGGAGGAGCAAGGAAATGCCGAATTGAGGAGACGACGAGAAAAAAGAAGAAAGAGGCTGGAGGCTCTCGCTTCGGCTCTGGAGACTAGCGCTCAGGAAGGAAACGGAAGCGTGTTCCAGGTGTATGGTCAACTCCGGTTAGTAGTTTGAACGTGCGAAAGCTGCGTCGAATATGTACGCACGAAACGGTTCGCGCAGTTGAAACGTACGGCGTATACCTCTTTGTTCGTCGAAGTTAGAGAAAAACGTCAGCGGGAAGAGACGAATAAATTTCGTTCGGTCGATTTACGCTATTGGATTCTATCCTTTTAACAATTCGTACGATGAAATCTAGATTCTAGATTTTCCGATTGTACCAAGTTTCAAGAAACTCAAGTATTTACACGCAGTATCGATAGTATAATTGAAAATAAAATATACGATAGAACGTAGTTTGACGGTAGTTTGCCTGGTATTATTACGAAGAGTACGTTTAAACGTTTCGAGATCATATGTTATATGTATTTTTCTATTCGACTAAAATTATATTCCCAACGTAGATCGACGGAAGATGCGCTAAAACGAATGGCGAAACGAGCGAAGCAACTCGAAGCGGAAGCAGCCGATCTCCAAGCTTGCTGGGACGCGGAGCGACGCGATCTTTTGCGCAGAGAACTGCTTACCTCGCAAATATGCGACGCGATGGTTCCTCATCTTCGACCGGGATGTCCGTTTCGCGATGTCGCTGCCGTCAGATCCACGGCCACTTGGAGCGACGAGCTGGGTCGTTGGAGATTACCGGACGCGACGCCACATATTTCCCTTCCTCCAGCGTCGTTGGTGCCTAAAGACAATATACAGTACAACGTAGTGCCTTCCAAACCGGATCTTAATAATAATAGCAATAACGAGGATAACGCGGACGAGATGGACGTGGAAGCTGAGAACGAGGAGAGCAGCGAACAGGAACAAGCGAAGAAACTCGATATCGTTGACACGTACTTCCGACGAAATCGGATCGACAAGCTCCTAGCTCACGCGAGAGAAGCAAAAACTTTTGGTAAGCAGCGACGTAAAAGCGATGAAAATTTGCAAGATATCGGTCGTTGTAACGTAAAACCGTAAAAACTTTGTAAAACCGTTGAATCCGTCGATGCGTGACGATCCCGACCGGTCGAGCAAAATCGGAAAATACGCGGTGTATTTTATCGTTTTGAAGATCGTCTAGGTGCGAACGCCGGCTTTCCTTATTTTTCTCGTTACTACGCGCACGCCACGACAACCTGAACGATAGAGTCTCGCGAACGATCCATAAGGGCATACATCGACGGATCGACCTAAGAAGCTCGTTGCTTCAAATCTAGAAATCTATTTCCTCTTGCAAACGTGTACGCGACTAGCAAATCCGGAAAACAGAAATCCTACGTAACAAACGACGAGATAAACAATCGTAACCGCGTTGTAGAACCGGGCAGCCGACTCAGCAGATCAGTTGGTTCCGAGGAAAGCGTTCCTTTTGGAGGCAATCGTCTTCAACTGAACGCCTTAAATCTGCAAAGTAGCGCGCCAGTGATCGGCGACTTGGATGGTTACAGGCCAACGCAACGTCTACCGACCGGACGAACGAGCCGACCAGGTTGCACGTTGGAAGAAAATTCGATAAATAACAAAAGTTGTCTCGTTAATCAAGCGATAAAGCGGAATCCTCCTCGAATCTTGGAGGCGTTGCCCTCGCAGCGCAATCTCCAAGGTACGAACCTTGGTGCCTTCAAGTTTGGAAATAAAGCCACGTCGGACAGAATATCCGATAAACTATCGTCGGCATTCGTTCGCGACCAAGCGGATGACGATCGTTCGACGCTGGTCGAACACGCTCGTTCCCCCACGTATTGAGATCGAAGGTACAAAGCCACCGCGACAGTTGGCAACTGCGGACTAGGACGACATCGGTGGAAGACGCGGATGAGGTACTCCTACTAATAGTAGTTACACGAGTAGGTGCTTTAGAATCGGTCGATTTTTCTTATCAGATTCTACGTATATACGTATTTCATCTTTCTAGCGTCAAATTCGTATAATCGTACTAATGCGCGTACCACCGTACGCGATACGAGATTCGATAGGCTTCGACTTAATTAATTAGAACGTAAATACCGTAATGAATACATTTTGCCGCCACTACGCATGTACTATTTATCGTATATCCCATTCTAGGTATTACGATATGCGAATATTTTAAATTGAAATTATCAGCACAAGGAAAGAGGTAGAATCTAATTAGAAATTTATCGTACGTAGTAAAAAATTCTTTATCTCGGATATTTACGCACGTTATACGTCGTATCCTATACATTTTTCTAGTTTCGATACGTAGATACACGGAAAACGGACATTTACGCTTTATTTCTAAATAATTTTTATCTTAAACTTTCCTTGCACTTTTTAGCATTTTTATCTTCGTTTTGTTTATATTCGCTTTAACGCTAAATTATTCGAATATTGCCTCTGTCTCGTATCGTAGTTTTGAAATTTTCGTTGCCGTTTTACATGTACGCGTTTGAAATTTATACACCGTAACGCTCATAACTCTGTTCCGTTATCCGATTATTCGACAGAAGTAAAAGTTTCCTTTACGCGAAATACGCGCATACGTGGTTCTCGTGAGAAACGATGTAAGAATAAACGAGATAAGGTGTACGTAATATTACGAGTCGCTCTCGTTCTCTTTCACGATGAAAGAGACCTTGATCCGTTCACTGATCTTATATAGGTTTTAATTCGAACATTTTGCGAACAGGCTTGGGTGAGTGACGTTTGTATAAGAGCCGTCCCGCTGTAACTTTGTCGCTTGGAACGTCTTCTGGCACGCCTTTTATACATACATCGTAACAAATTACGTCGGCATGTGTCAAGAAATTCCGAAATTCGAGAAGACGTTCGTAATAGACGAAACAAAGCAGACGATTCACACGTGGTGGATAATAATTCGAATTCTAACGATACTCGGACGTAAACCGACCTCGTTAGACTCGGGTTTTTGCCGACAAATTACTATCGTATCCTACGAATCGTTTCGCTTTTCGTAATACGAACCAGTCGTTATACAACGTATATAGGGTATATAGCGATAAGATTTGTTTTGCAAATCAACGAGGACGACGACGCGAGAGTCACCACTGGGCCAAGGTTACACAGTCGGAGTGCGTTCGTTTCGATATAAAATATATTAAAATTTCTAAATACATGCGCGAACGTTCTGCTATGTAAAAATGTCGTTAATCGCGAGTATCGACGGATCAAGGTGTTACCGAATAAAAAAAACTGTTTAACCGTCCCCTTCGTATTCCGTAGCAATCTGCGAGATATGTTTTACAGAAATCAAAATAAAAATTCGCGATTAATAAAGGAAAAAGTATTTCGATTGCAACGAGAGATCAGAAATTACGTAAATATTGATATTCGCCTATTAATACAGAGATTAATTCGGAGATTCTCTGCGGCTCTTTCGCTTTCCCTTCTTCTATTTTCGCCATTGTCTTCTAATTTCGCAATGATTTACGATCACGTAGATATATTTATTTGACAAGTTCATCTAGATCTCGCGGCATTCGTCCCCGTTAGAGCTCTAAAAGTAACGTCATAAAGGTTACACGCACACACACACACACACACGGTGTTACGCAACATCTTGGAATATATCCCGTGGAATATATCGACAAAACCAGTCTCGTACAAAACATTCGAATTAACGAAATTCTATCTACGAACGTCTAATCTCTCCAAAGATGGTAGAAACGAATTTTCTTAATGCTTGTTACAGGAAGTAGCGTTTGCAGCGTGTATCCTACGAACAGCGATAACAAGAAATGCCCTTGTGCAACCGGTTTCCATACCTATTTGGTCGGGGATGACGGAGGCCACGCGTGGACTTTACCTTTCGTTGTGGGAAGATAGCGATTTAACGAACGGACCCTCTGCCTTCCACTCCTCTGGTTTTTAACTCGTTAAGGACGAAGCAGCGAAATATCGTGTAAAAGTTGCGTAATTGCGGCAGTATTAAAAAGAGGTAAATAAAGTAAGTTATTATTTTGTCAAGTTAGAAAAAAAAAAAAAAAATCCATCGAAACGATCGTCTCTTGGAGAATGACGGATTGCTCGATGTAAATACGTTATACGTAATACGTACAAGATAGATACTGCAATTTCTTCGAGTTGCGCGTTTATTTCGATCCATCGTGTCGCCGCTGTTTTCTGATATTTATTTTCCTATCCGGTTGCTTTTTCCGGTATCTACGATTTCTACTAAAATTAGTCGCTTCAAAAATATAAGTTACAGGATCTTTAAACGATCTTTTTACGATCTCTGATGCAATCTTCGACCAACGTACGATAGGATTAAGGCGTCGTTATCGATCTACCATCCAAGACACGTATGCAGATGTAAGCAGAGAATATTCGATCCAATATTCGATTTCGTTACGTTGTCTTTTAGCTTTCGTTTGGAAAGATTAATCTCTCCGCTTTTGTACGCCGACGCCGCTACTTGTTGCTATAAATAGATCGAATAGAATTCAAATCACCAATAATCTCAATTTCTCTCGTTCCTCGCGAAAGATCGTCGAGAACGTTACGCAATCGTCGAATGCTAACAAAACTCGTCAGAAACGAACTTGTCTCTAACGTAATCGTACAAAAGATTTCGTTATCCGTTTTTACATCCAATCTATGTCGAACTGCGACTTTAATTGCAAACGACCATCGAGCTGGAACCAACTAGTACTTTCTGTGAAATCCACCGGGCTCGGGGATCGTTGCGCGATTCGACACACTTTTCGAGGAAATCTCGACGCTGGTCGATAATAGAGAAAAGGAAAAAGAAAAAAAAAAGGAAAGAAAGAGAGAAAATTCCGAAATCGGTCGAAACCCGAAGGAGCTGTGATTCGATTCGGATTCGAGTAAACTAACGGAAACCAATCGAAAATCGACTAAAATGAAGTCGGCTTTCGAACCGTGCTTTTAATAAATTTAGAGACAATTAACATTCACAGTGACAAACGTTTGCAGTTTTAAATACGAAATCCATAGCTTTCGGTGCTATATATTTCGGACAAGGATCGTAGGACTATGCTTCGGTAGTGCATACTATAGATCGTTGTCCGAGTTTTCCATACGTACGTTTCCATACGTAGGTACAAAGAAACGACGCTGCTTCGATCTCTACTCCGTGGGAGCGACGCAACTTTTGCGCGCGCAAAGTAAAAAAGGAGAAACTTCGACGGTAGTCATTGTAATTACACGATGACGGAAAACTCTATTATCTATCTATCTATCTATCTAGCGTTCGCGGCAACGCTTTTCCGATTAGATACTGACTTATCGTTCCTCGATAAAGATCGTTGCGAAATATCCGCCTTAGAAGAGAGATTTCAGGTGTACCAGGCGGCGGTTTTCACCCGACACACGCGCGCCGCTAAAAAGTGCCAGAGAAAGAATCAAAGTTGCTAAAGTCTGTCTGCGATCCATCTACGACAATGTTATGAAATTTTTGTACGCGAAGCTTTGTTCGAGCGTTACGCGGTCGTAAGTAGAAAAAGAGGCGAAATAAAAGGAAAAGTTTGTAAACGAAAGTGTATTATGGTTTCCGTCGTTCGCTTTAGAAATTAATTGCCTCTTTCTTACGGGGCGCCGTAACGGAATAACTTTTTTATTTTTTTCTTATTTTCATTATTGGAAAGTGCTGCATCGTTGCAGTAGAAAATCGTATTTCGTAAAGCGTCCTGTTGCTTCGTGTACGCAACATGGAAACAAGGAATTCGTTATAAATCAACATTTTCGCATACCGATATTTCCGATTTTAATAATTTTCAATAATCGACAAATAGTTTCTTCCGACGTGAGAATCGATACCAATTCGCGATACGCAGCCCCGTTATCAAAACGAACCGAAGCGAAAGACGAGAACGGTGTCAAAGATCGTATCCCCTCGAAGCTTTTAGAGAAATTTCACAGCCAGCCACGCGAACTGATCGAGCAACCAGTGACTCTCTCCTAAAACCTTTACTTTCCATTGAATCTCCGGAAAGAGGAAACACGGAATAGAGGGGAAATTATAAAAAGTCTATTATAAAAACATTCAAAAATACCTATGACGATTTTTTTCTGAAAAAACCTAACAAACGCGGTTTACTCGTTATATGCGTGTAAATAACCAGCATTTCCAGTTAATTTTCTTTCAAAATACGTTTGTCAACGTTAATCGGAAATTAATTGCCGTTTTCGAGTCAACGTAACGACGATAATCTATAATTTCGCAACACGCTCTTGTATCGCGGTAACGTTAACGTGCCTCGTACAAAATACGCCTTTTTAAACGAACGAACATCGTTATTCCAAGTGGAAGACGATTCAGTTGGTCGTGTTCGAAACGTCGTAGTACGTTTCGTGTAATAAAACCGACACGTAAGTATCTTCGTTGAAGAAAATAAAAGTGGCCTTGAATACCGTAAAACTAACGATCCGAAAAAAGAATACAATTTCTCCAGCTTTCTTCAACGTCGAACGCAACTTTTTCCCCCATCTTCTCGATAACTCAAGAAACGAAGAAACATTCGTACGTTCGATTACCATCGAGTCAAGATCAAATACAAATTAACTTTAAATCGTTTCGCAGCGTGAATAGTAGCTGTTAGATATACGATAATTAGTTCTACGGTATTGTGTATCTTCCATCTGTATAACTTCTCTAATTTTTATATGCTTTGCCAGACACGTTTCAAACTTTGTCGCTATAATCACGATATGCCTGGATACGCAACGCCTGGATATGCCTCGTTAGTGCGCTAATAGGATTTCGAAATATTTCGTATAACGCGATATGTGCAACAAATTTCTAAGAGCGTTCGAATACTTTCGCGAGCGTAGTCGACGTACGATTAGGTTTCTTGGGATGTCATTAACGTTCGGCGCTCGTTATACACTTTGTATAATATTTTACCTCGCGCTCTACTAGGAATCCGTAACGCGCAAAACAAACACGATCCTTCCTACGATCGTTTCCCGCGATACTCGGTGTCGTAGAACTGATAAAACATGCCGCGAGACTCGGAACAACCGTATTATTTATTGGCTAACGAAATCGATCCGAAATCGAGTGAAACGGTCGTAAAGATTGGAAAAAAGTGTGGCGAATGTGCTCGCCCGTTCGAACGTTCGGAGAGAACGAAAGCGAATGAGCTCACCCGTTCGAACGTTCGGAGAGAACGAAAGCCAATGATGGAAAAAGCCAGCTTACCGTACACATGTGTATAACGGCGATGGCTCACTTTTACTTTCTCTGTTTTGCACGAAACGCAAAATAGCGGCCGCGAGGCTGGTAAATGCCGCTTCAAAAAGCAGTCCGCTTTCCCTCTCGTCCTGTCTCCGGATATCGAAACATGGTCGCCTCTCTTAAAATCCTTTGTCGTTTCTTATCGTTTCGATCAACGTTTCGCCACACTCGTCGTCCGTAGATCAGCCATTCGAACCGATTCTTTCGATTTGCATTATTTTTCAAAACCACTGATTACATCGGCGATTAGTAGATTACGATAGTAATCGAAATATTCCATATAGACTCGAGAAGGTAAGATAGAGGCGAGCAGCGAGCATATTTAACGTAGGATTTTTCCTTTTCCCTGTTGAATTTTCATTTATTTCCTGTTGTCCATTGTTTATCGTTTGTCATATTCGCTACTGATAATCAATAAAAATCATAAAATTTTAAATATAGGTATTTATCTTTGAAAATAGGAAGCAACTTTAAAACCCCCCAAAAATTCGAAACATTCACATTCGCGATTTACCAAATTAGACAAAATTTCCAATTTCTATCAAACTTGCAAACCCATTACCCTTAATAGAGTCGGCGTCGTACTTTCCACCGTTCAATTTTGTTTCGAGGAATTGCAAAACGTATAATGAACTAAATCACTCTAATAAGCGTACTTGATTTGTTACCGTCGTGAGATTGCAAAATACGCAACTACAACGTTCCCTTATCCCATTAATTGCGCTACATACACGTACATATATCGTGATAAAAAAACTACATTTTATTATATACTTTGCTATTTCTCTTTGTAAATATTTAATTCCCAAATTTCTTAAGATCGACATTTCTGGCATTTTTGTTACAAAATTATCGTATTGTCGTTTAAATATTAGACGATTAAATGCGTTTAAGATGAAATCTAACAGTTGTTTAAGCAGTGGTTTAACGTATTTAAGACGAGACTCGATAAATTTAACAAATCGACGAGATCGACGTTTTTATCTGCGGTTTCACAAACGGTTTTTGCTAAATAAATGTACGTGCATATCTGGTCAAATCTATTATACGTAGATAAAACAATTGGAAAAGAAATAAGCAATGAAAGTGGATGTGATACGTCTTTTACGAAATAGCTATATCTTTACCTAGCTGCTATATACCACGGTAGAAGCTCGTAAATATAAATGGCTAAAATAAGCAAATTGTCAAGGCTATATAGGCATTTGTCACGGATACGTTCGTTAACTGGTTAATAAACTCACTCTGGCGAAAAGCGATAGTATATTTACCTTAACCGAAGAAAACAGACGTTTCTCGTGTTACCATCGTATGTATCCCTAGTACACAGTTACTTTCCACACGTGGTGTTACTTCGAGGTTATGTCGTCGTTTAAAGGTTAAAAATATTAACTTGGCATAGATAAACGTCGAGAAAAATCGGTCCCATCGTGAATTCTCGTATATCGTCGCGATTATGTCACGCATCCTGCATCGGTCTCGAGTTCAACTGGCGTGTTTCATCGCCTTTCGTTCGACGTCTCTCCCCTTTCCTCTATAATCGCGGAAAACAACATTTCCCGGAGCAGGGAATATCGGCATCGTGCAACGCGAATCAGAGCAAAGTAGAGCACCGATCTTGTTACTCACCGTAATTCACGCGAAACCGTTGCTACGCGAGCCTCTTCCACGAGGAGCACGATTTGAAATTGACATTGCGATCGTTGCAGCTGCTTTAAACAAGCTTTTCCTTCGCTCGGAATGGACTTTCTACGACACATGATTCACCACGCACGTAAATATTCAGCTTCGGAACGAGTATATTCGCGCGAATATGACAAATTCTTAGCGAGAAAAGTGACAAATGATTACAATTACGTAATTATTTAGCATCGGTAACGAATAATTATAATCAACGAAGAATGTAAAATAATAAGCATAGGATAAACTAAAACGATCGATTGAAAATTTACGAGGATAATTAATTATAATTCGCAATTATAGTTCGCGATGTAACCTTTTAGCCACACACATATATTGGATAAATAAAATCAATTATGGATTCGTATGAATTGTAAGGTATTTTTCGATTAGACTCTTTCTTATAGCAGCATATATCAAAAACGAAGAGAATGGCAAACCGGAAATCTGTAGATATAGCTATAGACTGTTGTGTTAGGCTAACGTCGTAATTAACTTCCGCAGAGGTTAAACGACTAGTTGATAGACGTCTATCGAATCATGATAAAAATACAGTTGCAGTATTCGCTTGTTTTCTTAAATAAAACATACTAATTAAACTAATTCTCGTATTCTTACAATAAATGATTCAAAGTATGCATACATGTCTAATTCCCAACACCTCCGAATAATAATTTTCGCCTTTCTTTTCTAAATTATACTTCCCAACAACACTGTACAATCATATAAAAATATCCACGCTTTATCTAATCGTAATGTCCAAATAATGCCTGTATATATATATATAGAAAGATATTTCTGAACACAGCAATCTCTGGGTATCAGATGACCTCTAAAACGTTTTTCTCTTTAATTCGCAATAATATCGCGTACTATTCGCTAATGCAAATAAATACGAACTCTCAGATTATATATATCCGAACTCTTCCTCGTCGATATTGAACATCTACAAGCTATAATATATGTCTCTATAGAGTCATTTGTATTTAAAATATCTGTTAACATTATCGACAACATCGATGTTATTGCTGATTGAGAAAAATATTTTCAAAGATATACATCAAAGTCGCTTGATCGTTCGACCACGAATTCCAAGCGTCGTACGATCACGAAGTTTTAAGGAGACAAAGTCGACACGGAGAATGCCGCCGAGGTCACTGTACGCTACGTCCGTTTATGTGCACCATAGCCTGTATGCTATATGATCATAAGAAAAACAGAAACGCCAAGAAGTATAGATCTATGTTCTGTTTCAAACATGACCAACGGTCAATTATCGCGACTCGTTACAGTTACAAGTGGCAACGATCTTACTCCATTTATCCGTTGTATCTAAATATCTGCTATTATATACTTCGTTCTTTAAAGCAGCCATTACGAGACGTCGCGCCGCATACAACGCTTGTGCCTAAAATAAGAATTAGTCAGAAGCTAACAGCTAACCGAAAGGTCCAAAGAATTAGCGGCGTAACTGGTACTGATATTTCGCTCTTAACTATACGAGTTCCAACCAACGATTCATAGCATAACTAATAGAGGAGACGGGTGAAAGAAGCGGAGAGGCCAGAAAAAGATTACGGGGAAAGAAGACAAAGAACATAAGTATTTATATACATATGGGAGACGTGTGTTTAATATATGTATATACGCACACATCAACGTTGTCTTTAGAGGGAAAGAGAGGAAGGCAAATACAGTTAAGTAGCGGCACTTTGATCCACAAATGTACCGCGTGTTCAAGTTTCAAGCAAGTCGCGATACGGTCAATGATTCATACTTGCCATTAATTAATTGACGACATAATAAAATTTCCTATATGCAATATCGACAAACTAGAAAGAAGTTTTGTAATCTCAAACTAAAATATCGAACAATATCGATAAAATTATGAAGTAAAAATACAAATTATACATATTTAAATTAATACGAGCGTAATCTTTCTAGCAAAAACTATTTTCTTTCTAACTCACTAATGTTTCTCTGGAATAACCGTTACGTAAGAAACGTTTGTTGTAATTGTACTCAAAATTTAGGATAAAATTTATCATATTTTCCTTAGTCAGTACCCCCATATTGCACAATTTACATTACATACATTTGCTTACGAAAGTATTTGAATACGTACAAAATTTGTACGTCCATATTATATACGCGTTATATAAAAGATTTTGAAACTTCGTTAGCACTGTACGAGATGAAACACGGCTGTCACAACAAATTTCTCGTCAACGAGTCAACTACAAGTTTCTCGACAAAAATCTTCGAATTCGCTAAATCTTTCATAGAATTCGTTATATAAAAAATGTCAACATTTTGAGAAAATGTATAGATCGACTCGAGATTACATTAAATTGAAACATAGTCGGGAAAGATCAATAATAGTTTGTAAATAATTTACGGAGAGAACGGAATGTTCCTTAATCGGAATTTCATATTCCATTCGAATTACAGAGCGATACGTTTATAGCGCATGCTTGTAGTAGCTCACAAGCCATGTTGATCACTTTCATAAATTAATATGTAAGAGAAAATAACAATAGCGTGCATTGTTTTTTAAAATTTACCTTGAAATTTATGGTTATGTTATGTTCTTACTCTTGCGATAAATAAACTCACGAAGATAGGCCCTTTGCTGTCTGAAATGTTGAACACTAATTACGTCCCTGGGAAATGAAATTAAAAATTTCATAAAAAATGGTCTCGGTTATTCTAGCGGCCGAGAGGCTCGCACACGATTATCGATATCACAGATATCCGTCAAGCAATAATGGCAATGTCAACAACATAATATAGATAATATTATCGTACTTTATCGTACGGTACAGTCTGCTCGCCTAAGCGCTGCGCACAAAGGGATCTATGTTAGAGTTGGTCCGGAACGAGCGTGGCGGAACTAGCGTACCAGGAGAGCGCATTTTGGTATCTGAGATCGGCGGCTCGGAAAAATGAGTGACGCACGGTCGCAGTCGACGAGCTCGGATCCAAGTCCAGCGATAGACACAAGCACAGGCGATCTACCAGTCACGGGTTCTAGTTGCCGCCGCGGAGAGGGTCCAAAAGAGAACGGAACGGCAAACTGCGTGCGAGAGACGTGACGAACAGTCGCCAGCTGGTAGCCGGTCTACGTGGATCGAGCAATCGCGAGCCGGAAAGAGAGAGTGTGCGTATGCGTGCGTGTGTGTGTGTTTCTTTTCTCTTTTATGCGCACGTAGCAGAATACACACGTTTATCGCGCGAATCGCTCTTACCGCGTATATTTAACGTTCACACTTGTGAATAGCTGTGAAGAGAAGCGAAGCGGAAGTGGTTGCCACTAATAGTAGCACAATGTGTGACGATCGTCGTTGACGAACCATTCAGCATCGAAACGAGTCGTTTCGATTAAAACGACGTTCGAAACGAGTTTTCTACGCCGCGATACGCTCCCATGAGAGCGTGCCTCCGGCAGGATGTCGTCGGTGTTTTCGAAATTAATCGACAAGACGTCTACCAAATACGGTATTAGGCAAGAGCAGCTGATTCGTGGTATAGTCGGGGTAGCGACCACTCTCTATTTCATCAAGATCGGTTATCCGTTGGTGACTTTTGCTATAAAGCAGTACCAAAAGGGGAAAAAGCAAACTCGGAATAGCGTGCAAGTGCCGAGCAGGGATAAGAATGACATTGATAATGCTAATAATAGCAAGTTGAACAGCAAGGCGGGGAAAGCAAACGTGGGTTTGGACCGAAAATTCATTAAACAGCTGATCGCGTTGCTGAAGATCATGGTTCCTGGATGGAAGACGCGCGAAGCCGGATTACTCGCTTGTGCCACTCTGACGTTACTAGCTAGGACGTTTTTGTCGATCTATGTAGCCACTTTAGAAGGTCAAATCGTGAAGAGAATCGTGCTTCGAGACGTTCAAGGGTTTTCTTTGATGCTCGCGAGATGGTTCGCTATAGCTTTCCCCGCGACGTTCGTTAACTCGGCTATTCGATATCTAGAGGGACGATTGGCTCTTAGTTTTAGGTATTTACACGAACAATGTATTGATTTGTAGTTTGCGTGGCTTTTACGGTTCACAAACAAGTGTCAAGTTCTGTTTTCTGTTTTTAAAGAGGACGCCTGGTAGAGCATGCTTACAAAATGTATCTGAGTCAACAGACCTACTATAGAGTGGCTGCACTGGACACTAGACTCGGAGGTGCTGAACAAAGACTGACGGATGATTTGTCCGAATTGGCTAGTTCTGTGGCACATTTGTATTCCAGTTTAACCAAGCCATTGTTAGATTGTGCATTGGTGTGCATCGCGCTTATTTCTTTCTCTTCCAAAATGGGAGCAAGAAGGATACACGGTAATACGATTAGCAAGTTATAGAGAGTGTACTAATAACCAGAGTCTAATCGTTTGAAAGGCAAATTAAGCGACGTATTAACAAGCATAGTAAATTTCCTTTGTATTGTTTTACAGGGCCATTGTTATCGTGCGTGGTAATTGGTCTAACCGGACAGATTCTACGTCTAGCTTCTCCTAAATTTGGCCAGTTGGTGGCAGAAGAAGCATCGAAACGTGGAATATTAAGAGAGGCACATGCTCGCATCAGTGCTCATGCAGAAGAGATAGCATTCTACGGAGGTCACTGTACAGAGCACCGATACTTGATTACCGCTTATAAATCTCTTGTTTCGCACTTAAGGAGAGTGTTAGCCCTAAAATTTTGGTACGTGATGTTGGAACAACTGCTCATGAAATACGTATGGTCTGGCACTGGACTTTTAGTTATTGCCATGCCCCTGCTTTATACCACAGTGACGTCAGGAAACGTGGCTTTAAAAGACGACGGCGATGGTACGTACGTGCTAAATATAAAGTTAGTTTACAGTATGCGAAATACTAACGGATTTATTTCCTTGTAAATAGGCGGAGTGAGCGAAAGAACTAGATACTTGACAACTTCTAAAAATCTTTTGAGTTCTGGGGCAGATGCTGTCGAGAGACTGATGTTGTCTTACAAAGTAAGATTTAGAATAACGGAGAGAGCGTATTAGCTAGTTCGAAGAGTAAGACGTTTATAACGAATTTCATGTATTATAGGAATTGGTGGCATTAGCTGGATACGCAGCACGGGTCAGCGAAATGTTGGATGTATTTAAAGACGCTGCGCTATGTAAATATAGAAGAAATATCGTTGGTAGTTCGTCGAGAACAACAAATAGTACAACCAATTTTGCTTTAGATAATATAATCGAATTGAAAGACGGAGCACCAGTGATAAAAGGTAATCTTCTACGAGCATACAGGTTAGCAGTATTCTTGAAGTATATTTGATCGGATATGATAAGACGCAAAGGACATTTGTTATAGGAATCGTACGTGAAAGTACAGATGGCAGTATAAGCTTGATCGACGTGCCAATAGTTACGCCAAACTGTGAAATTATCGTACCTAGATTGACTATTTGTGTAAGCTTCGTTATATTTTTAAACTATCACAAACTATCGGAAAAAAAAAAGGAAAATTATCGTACGCTTTTACTTTTGTAGATAAGACCAGGGGACCATATATTAATTACTGGGCCCAATGGCTGTGGAAAGAGTTCCCTATTCCGCATAATTTCTGGCTTATGGCCAGTGTACGGAGGCACTTTGATAAGACCGGCAGAAAATTACTCTGCTAAACGAGAAAGACCCGCCTTATTTTATATTCCCCAAAAACCTTACATGACCGTCGGTTGCTTGCGCGATCAGATCATATATCCCTCGGAATCACAAACGGAAGACTGTTGCGACGAAGAACTGCTGAAATTGTTGGAAGAAGTGGATCTACGAAGTCTGGCAGAGAGAGAGCCGAATGGACTGGATTCTTTCGGTGACTGGGACTCTACGTTGTCTGGTGGTGAAAAACAAAGACTCGCGATGACGCGTTTGTTTTACCATGCGCCTCAGTATGCGCTGTTAGACGAGTGTACCAGTGCCGTGAGCCTCGAGGCTGAAGCAGTGATTTACGAAACTGCCAAAAGGAAAGGCATAACGTTGTTAACTATCACGCATCGCGTGGCTTCCCTCGCGAAATATCATAAACTACTGTTACGCTTCGACGGAGAAGGTGGTTGGACTTTCGGCCCGTTAGAGGCGGAAAGTGCAACGCGTCTAACGACTCAAGCAACTTACGAACAAACCGAGCAACACGAAGTGAAAGGAGGCCACTATCGAATGTTACACGTACGTTCGCGTGTTTTTTTTCCCCATTTTAATACGAAACGAACGACCATGTTGCAACGAGCATGTACCAAATGTATTTCGATATTTTGTTTCTGTTTACAGGAACTCCGTGACATTCATAAGGAGGATGCGAAAATTGGAATTAGCTGAAAAGAACGAGACGAATCATTTTGTATTATTCTAGCGAATTCATGTAGAAACTCGTGCGGCTGTAAATAGATACCAATTTCTAAACAAATAGTTTCTAAACAAATAGTTTCTAAACAATTAATCTATTTTTGTATGAATAAATATCGCTATTTAATGTCACGAAGTAGGAACATTGTTCGACGTTGTTTGAGCATCTGTATCCTAACGCTTCTTTTCTATCGCTTATCTAAATTAAGGATAATGTAACGAAATAAAAATGCCACTTTCGTCAACCCGATCAACGCGTTGATTTTATGAAACGTACTCGTTGCTACGAAGTGATTTACCTGTTCATATCGTATAATGGTAAAACTATCGTCTTTTATTTATCGTTCGATATTCTCCGAACTTTGCAAACATATCCGAAGAAGGTTAAAGGCGATAAACGTAATTCTGATTTGCATTGAAATGTTAACGAGAGGACCGAATCGTAAATCACGAATAATTTTCTACTTACTAAAAAAGTACTCCTAACGACGAAATCCTTTCCTTTTCCCAACCATAAGAGGATTATCTACAGTTAATAAGAATAGAAACTGTCGTAAAATAAAAAGATATTCGTTGTCCATGTGTCATTACGTGGTAGGTATTTCCAAGATGCGATAAACAAGATAGAACGATCGGAATGGGAAAGGAACAAAGTAGAAAAACAGAAGAAAAAAAGATTTTTTTACTTTTATCGATGATCGACAATCAGCCGACAATCTCACGCGAATATCAGCTTGGATCGGTAGAGAAATTGCTGTGCTCATCGATCCGTGGAAAATAACTCGATGAACGCGAAATTATCAAAGCCAATGACGACGAATCTTTGTAGAACTCGATCTTTGCTCCTATCGCAAGTGTCTTAACGTTTCTTAAAAGTAAACAAGAGGAGTCCAAAGATATAAATCTAATTAGGTGGAAATGTTCGATGGCTGGAGAAACGGTTAAAATAAAAGCGAGGAAAGTGAGTAAGGAAGGAAGGAAGGGTGAGAGCGAATCTTGCAAAGATAGGAGAAAAGGAGGGAAGAGATGGAAGGAAAGTGGCGAGAATGGGATAGGTTGGATGTCGATTAGAAGGCGGATCGCGGATTAAAGTTCCTTTGGCGATGTTGCAGCTGCCAGGCCATGGCGTGCAGTAGCGTGCCGTGTCGCGTACATTAATTTGTGCCGGACAAAAATTTAATTACGTGTGTTTCTTTGTTTTGAAGGGCCAGCAAAGGCGGCGGGGGCGATGCCAGGGGAGGGAAGACCCACAATTTCCGATGAGCTTACCTCTGGGAAACCCTGCAAACGCCAAACGTCGATACGCCCGGGAGCAGCCATCTTGGGGGGTTGTATACCTCTCTGCGACGTTCCAGCTAATGCTTTAAAGCAATTCCGGAATACCGGCGCGGCGCAATTAGTCGCGTCTCTTCTTCCTCGTCGATCTTCCAGGGATGCGGAACGACTTACTAATACATCGATGCCTCATAGTACAAATGTTGTACCCTGATATTCCTTTTTATTTCTTCGTTTCTAGCGTGCATTTCACGTTTAGCGTTTTCAAAAATTTATTTAATCGTATTTTACGATTAAATAAATATTTGTCGCATTTGTATCTATCTTTACGTCTAACGTCGCTACAAAATTGGTGGCAGATCGCGCGTCGATCGCACGCTTTACGACAGATCATGAGAATGAGAACGAGAAATAATATAGTCGGCTACTTTGTACGTTTAAAAGATGTTCCTTACCGTACTTTTATAAACGGTATTTTTCCATTATAGAATTTTGTAATCCGACCTTACTTTAATACGCCGTAAGCATTGTAACAGGTATTTCGTTTTATCCGGATATCACAGTCTCTTGCACGCTAACGATAATCTGCCAGCTAACGATATTACTAATATTATAGATTTCTCTTTCATAATTTTACAAGGTTATGTAATTGCAGCGTGTCGTGTACGATTTCGCAACGAAAGCGGACCTATAACAACGTTTTCCGCGGTGGAAACACGAGTCGAAGCCTACGTATCGAGGAACGTAATTTCAAAGCGCTTGTCCAGGCTGTTGCTTTGAAATCGTTCCGATATCGGTGCAAGAATCGGAAATTCTTTGCGACAACGACAGTCGACCGTTTGTCGATAGTTAATAGAACCGAAGAAATTTTGCAAACGGCACCGATCGCTGCGTTGTTACCTCTAGAAACTCGATCGAGACTCGAGCGAGTAAAAATATACACATATCGAAGTAAATCTCCAACTAGTTTCTGTTTGTTTAATTACGTTTATAAACGTACGTAAAGATATAAATTTGCTTGGCATTTTAGTCGACATTTCCATTCGGCAATTCGGTTCGAAGACGATTTGAAAAAGACGAGATTGGCAATAGGAATGAAAATAAAGGAGAACTCGACTTACTTCGACAGTCGAATAACTCAAACGCCGCTATCTTTCTTCGCGCTGTTTATCCAAGAACCAACGACCACGGACGGCTATTTTTAGTTAAGAGGAGAGTCGCAGGCGGCAATTTGGCTACAACATTCACGGCTGGTGTCGAGTTTCGTATTTTGAGAAAGGGTTGAAGGAAGACGCGAGGCAGAGGCCACGGCCTAGCATCTGTCCGCGATAGCCGACTAAGAAAATAAGGCGAGACTCGCGAGGCGCGATTAGCGAGCACGCCCCGTGTTCGTAACAGTTTTCTCGAGGATTAAAACCTTGTCGACTTTCCGGGCCGCTCCGTTTCGCCGTTGCTGGTCGTCGAAATAGCCGATTGAATTACACGTGGCGCGTGCCAGCCGGCCGCCACCGTCACCGCATACGCCAAAGATCTTTGCTCGAACAAAGAACGCAATAAGCCATCATCCGATCGCTATCTTGTCATCCGATGGGATTTCCAACGACCAAAGAGGCGGCCGCGTTTGCAAATCTTCTGGCAACGATCGTATATGTAGGGTTATCGGTGATCGTGGAATGACTGGAATCGAAGAAACGCAGACGACATAGACAACAAGATGGCACGAACACTTTAGCGTCTGCAAAGCGTATATGCTTGCAACGAGTATATCTGGTAATTGCTACGCACGCTTTCGGATGAGTTTAAAATTTCACCGATGTAATCGCGACAGCGACGTCTCGTTACGGTGCCGATGAAACTTGGAAATTGATTTTTCACGATATACGCGCATCGAATACGAAAAATGTGCAAAAACGTGGCGATACGTCGTCTTGGAATACCGCGTTCTTCCAGTTACGCGGTATGTGGAAGCTGGTGGCAGCCGCGAGAGGTGGTTCGCCGCAAATGTAATTAAGCAGCCGTGACGTATTCAGTAACATCTCGATCGTCGAAAGCAGGCTTTATCCCAACGATGGAGATTATCCGATGCGCAATCACTTTAGCAAAGGGAGATGGGCACCAGTGGGAGGAACTTTCGATCGCGAACAATACCGTCACTGTCATCTCGTCACGAGGGTTAATCATTCAACTTTGAATGGACGGCCGGTTTCCTGCTCTTCTATCGACCTACACCGCTGGTTACTGTACGCCGTACTTTGACGCGTCACGCGTTACACGATAGCACAGAAAAGAAAACAGAAAATAGAAAATCGAACATAAGTCGAATTTCGAGGAACTTTTACTCGGAAAATGCGAATTCGAATACGTTTAACCCTGCTATAATCGAATAATCGAGTAACTAGCGGCGAGTTAAGAGCAAATTTCAGGTTGAAAGAAGCTGGTTTTCCGTATCCGTATCGCTTCGTTTCGCGGACGAAAAGGGAGAAATCGAGCGTGAACGAGACGCGTTTCTACGAAAACGAACGTACCTACGAATCCCTACGTACACCCTACGTACACCCCACGTACACTTTACGTACACCCCACGTACTGCGATTATATTTGTCGAAAGTATTTAAGAAACGAGCACCCGGCGAGATAAACGGCGCGACAGCGGATGCAACCCGGCTCGCGTAGTCGCTTAACGCGCGCACGCGATTAAGGCGGATCGGCATACGTACGACGCGTGTCTGTTTCTCTCGATATCGCCGGTAGAACGATCGCGGGAATGTAATCGTCCGTTTGATTTCAGGTGCGAGCAAACACAGGTGTGTGGTTGGCTGCGATGCTCCCTCGAAGAGGGTTGGAAGACCGACCGATTCTCGTTGCCATACGAGACACACACAGGCTACTCCACAGGCTATCTCTGCCTCTGAATCGATGATTCGAGATCGGGAAATCGAGCGTAAACGTTTCGTGCAAATTTTGTGGTCGCTCTATCGATACGATCAAATTTTTACCTGCGAAACAACGATTCGACGATGCAAACGAAAATGAATCTGCCTCGGACGCCGTCGTTTTGGCGCTGTTTTCGTCGTCCTTCGTTTATCTTTCATTTTCTAGATTCGAGCTACGATCCGAAAATTAGCGAACTTTGCCACGAAAACCAAGTTCTTGCGGTCTCGATCGCGATATAAGCGGCAACCAGTTGGTCGACTGGATCGATGGTCGAACCGTTAAATCCGTACGATCGTCTCGCGCGACTCGCACGGTCACTCGATGGTCGTCATGGTGTGTCGCGCACCACCCTGTCGG